TTTCTGCAGTCCTGAACACTTAGATCCTACTCAATCAGGAACAACTCAGGTATCAGCTTGACATTCTTGTCCCTATTTTATCAGGGAGGGAGATGGCTTAGGCCTAGCCTAGGATTTCAAAGGGACTCTCAAAAGGAGATTTAAATGTGACTCTGTTAATACTATCTTTTAGTTTTGAGTCTGACCCGTGTATTGATACTTCCTTGGTTTGGCTGGTCTTTGGAGGATTTTCTTTTCAGCAGGAATTCTTGGCCCTTTGCCTATAAACAGACTGTCTTCTTCAGTAATAACTTTGTTTCCGTGCTCAGATTCCCCTTCCCATCCAAGCCAAGCTGTTAACCCACCAACTTAAACTTCCTCTTCTGCAGCTCCCTTCCTGGCCCCGCACTGTGCTCACAAGATGAACAGGGAACCAGAACAGCCTCCGGGCAATGGGGAGAAAGTTGCTGGAAAGGGGTACTGGAGGGAGGATTTGTGGGGAGGATTAGTGATGCATGACCGCTGGACCCTGCAAGTGGGAAATGCTGTTCTGTGGCTGTACAAGACCTTCTTGGCACTCTGGCTCCCCAAAGGAAAGTGAAGAACTGGTCAGCCCTGTCGGATGGAGCCCTCTCCCCTTGTTCTCCTCATCCTGCTCTGTTGAATTCTTGACTGGGTTCTATTGGACTCTGAAGGCATAACTTGAATTCATAAAATAATCCTGTCTGAATGTGAGCCTGGGGCTGGGGAAAGGGTAGAGGAAGTTCATATACCATGAGGTGGTCTTCCTTATCCACGGCTTAATAAGGTGGTATAATTATCAAGATGTGGTCCTGGGAGTAGCACTGTCAGCATCACCTGGGAACCTGTTAGAAATGCAGATTATCAGGACCTACCCCAGACCTACCGAATCAGAAATTCTGGGCTTAGGTACCCCAGCAATCTGTGGTTTAACAAGCTCTGTAGGTGACTCTGAGGCACTCTAATGTGTAAGAACCACTGGTCTAATAAAATGGGTGGAACATGACTCATGTTCTAAGTGAGTCACTGCCCAGGTGAATGGTGATTGGTTAATACAGTTGCACAAAAGTTCTATCCTTTAGAACCCCAGAAAAAGCTGGAGAATGAGAGATTCTACCATGTGCTTGGATCTTCCCTTAGGGATGCTACTGCCAGTCCTACATTGGCCTAGATTCCTCAGGGACCAATTCTGTGCTAATCCCCTTTCCCAGGGAGAGGTGGCAGGTTTTTGCTGAGGTTTGTCCTCAGTCTTCTGACTCAGGGCCTGCCTAGGGATTTGACTCTTTCCCAGCCTGGAGGAGTCATGTAGCTGGGTAGGACTCAACTCTGACCACCTTGAAGAGGAACCCCAAGAGGAGGAGGTGCACCCGATCTTTCCTGGCTATTTTATGTAGTAGAAAGAATATGAGATTTGGGGCCAGGATAATGAAATTTGTATTTTGAAACTGCTACTCACTAGCTGTGGAAACTTGTACATCTCTCTGAGTCTCCATTTTCTTATCTGTATGATGAGAATAAGGATGATATACAATTCCTAAGATGTTTGTGAGGATTAAATAAGGTGGTAAAAGTGAAATGCTTATATTTAAAATGCCTTGCACTTATGGAAAGCTCAGTAAATGCTAAGTTGTTTTGTTGATAACTATCCTTCCAAGCTTCCAGGACTTTATTATGGGAGAAACCTGGGCAGCTCTGAGATAAGTGGGCCACCAGGAAGACCCCAGAAGCCCGCCCTATCTCTGTATACTTTTTGTGGCTGATTCTTGATGTGAAGTTTCCCAACTATAATTGCAGCCTAAGATAACAGGTCTCGACAAATTTCTCTCTCTTGCTTCTAGAATAGACTATTTTATCCAAGGCTGCTGGGAATGTAGACATAATTGACACTTAAATTAGCCCCTTGCATAAAAATTTATCTCCTAATAAACTTTTTAGAATCAGAGGAGGGGAACATCCAGAGATACTTTCGTTTGTATTACTCTATTTCAGGGGATTCTTAAGTTTTGATGGTTGGACTAACGTGGCTCTGTTATTATCCAAAGCAGTATATTACAACTGGGGGCAATGTCTAGAGACATTTCTGGTTGTCACAAGGAGTCAGGGGCGCTAGTAGCATTAGATAGGTAGAGGCTGGAAATGCTGTTAAATAATCTACAATGCACAGGACAGCCACCCCCAAGAAAGAGTGGTCTGGTCCAAAACAGTAATGGTGCTGCTGTCGAGGAACCTTGATCTAAAGCAAGTTTAGGAAATGTATTGAATTCTGGGGCTAATCTTAATCATTTGCTGTGTGTGCCTGGAGCGCTGTGTTAAGCAGGATTTCGGTGTTACATCTGGGTTCTTGTGAGTGGCATGATTGTTTACAGATCTTCTTTGATTAGGGAACAGGAAAGAGGATGGGGACTGGGTGTTTGCCACACCGGGCCTGGCGCATTTTAAGCCTCGTTTCTGTGCCAGCCACCACCCATAGTGTCCACAGATTCCCAGAGAGGTGGTTGGGACTGAAACTGTGTGAAATATCCCTTGTACTTCTTCATAAACTCAGGTTCTTGAATAGCCTTTTCCTGGTCAACGAAGCAGAGGCACTGCCCCCTTATTGGGTGGTTAGTAATGCTTTCTTTAGTTCCTTTGGACCCGGAATTTCCGAAGGTCAGCAAATACCTCTATGAACCTGACACTCATGTACCTTAGGAATTCTCAGGCCCTAATCTTGGGTATGAATTCATTCTAACTGAAGGGCTCCAACAGTGCTTTCTCAAGCTTTGCTCAGAAGAGTGATGCTACCTTTGCAATGATTATTAAGGAATAAACAACATCTGCCTGCAGGAATCTTTCTCTCTTTGGCTCATTTTAGAAATAATAGATAAAATCCAAAGTAGATCTTTGGCAATCTCATTTAGGCTCAAGAAGGGAGTGAATGAAAAAGTTATTTCTAGGATGTTCAAGTCCAAAGGCAAGCCTGAGAACTAGGTAATGTCTCAGGTGTGATCAAAGGTGATTATTATAACCTCTTTGATAACTAAATAAGAATTGGGGCTCAGTTTGGGCCAAAAGATGTCTGAACACAAAATTAGATCAGTTGGCAATGACCCATTTCCCTAGAGCCATCTTTTGGCTGAGTTGTAAAAATGTAGTTAGACCAAATAGAGATTAAAAGCCTGGGTGCATTCTCTCTCCACTGGAATAGGAATAGAACCCCTAAGGATGCATTGTTCAGAAGTAAAGGATATACCGTAATCCCACAAACTTTTAAGAATGATCCACTGCTGCCTCTGAGGATAGCCCATTTTTTTGTTTCGTTTTTGTCTTTTTTGAGATGGAGTCCCACTCTCACCTAGGCTGGGATGCAGTGGTGCGATCTTGGCTCCCTGCGACCTCTACTTCCCAGGCTCAAACTGTTCTCCTGCCTCCTGAGTAGCTGGGATTATAGGCATGTACCATCACTCTCAGCTAACTTATTTTTCATTTTTCATTTTTCATTAGAGACAGGATCTCACCATGTTGGCCAGGCTGGTCTCAAATTCTTGACCCCAAGTGATCTGCCTGCTTTGGCAGCTACCCTCTTAACAGCTAATTTTTCCTCACAGTTCCTTAAAAGTAGGTGTTGTTATATCTATTTTATGATTTCCATTTTCAGATGAGGAAATGGAAGATAGCTTTAAGGCAGAGCTAGAGTTTACAAGGCCAATGAAATACAAAAACCAATTTCTTTGCTTTTATAGGAAATGATATCTATAAGATAATCCAGTTCGAGAAAAGAAAAAAGGAAAAGGAAGTGTATCAGGCATGGCCTGATGGCTCATGTCGGTAATCCCAGGACTTTGGCAGACAGAGGTGGGAGGATTGCTTGAGCTCAGGAATTCAAAACCAGCTGGGCAATACAGCAAGACCCCATCTCTACAAAAGCTATTTTTAAAGTAGCCAGGCGTGGTGACATGCACTGTAGTCCCAGCTATTCGGGAGGCTGAAGTGAGAGGATCACCTGAGCCTGGAAAGTTGAGGCTGCAGTGAGCCATGATCATGCCACTGCACTCCAGTCTGGTGACAGGGTGAGACCATATCACAACACAAAAACAACCAACCAACCAAACAAACAAACCGGTGTATCTTTGTTTAACAGAAATCTTTCAAAATATGGGCTCATGTGGGAAGCAGATAATCAGTGGTATCCCTCTCAACAAAACCTGGAAGCCAGTGGAATAGCCTTTTCTAAAGCAAAGACCTACAGCTCAAAAAGTACTAGGAGTCTAAGAAAACCTGTTGACACAATATGTGCATTGACAGCCAACTGCCACAAGATGGCAACATTCTCAGGAAAAGGAATGAGGTTGTTCCAAGTCTGAAATCTCACTTTTACCTTCTCCACTTAGAATATCCTTTTTCTTTTAGATATTGTCTTGAGATTTCAATTTAATAAGAGCTAACTTACAAGAATGTGGTATTTCTTTGGCCTAAAATCTCTTCCACCCTTTCCTCCCTCCCTCCCCCGTTAACTCACATTCATACTCAGTTATCACCTAAGATATTATTTCCTTAGAGAACCTCACTTCCCTGGGCGAGGTTTGTTACCCTGTGTATACACTCACTCCCAGAGCATCTTGCCCTTAGCTATCAAAATACTTTACACTATTGAACTTTCTAACTTCTAGACTGTAAGCTTCATATAAGGGCAAGGAACCATATTGATGTTTTTTGCAGTTCAAACCTAGAGGCCAGCTCAACGTTTGAGTCACAGTGGGTACTCAATAAGTATTTGGTCAATGAATAAATTAATGGTAGATTTTAGTGGGAAAAAAAGTCTTTCCACCAAAAATTAGCAGACAAATTGCAGCTACCAACTCTGTATAATGGTGGGAGACTAGGAATGCATATGAACTAGTTAACAATTCTTTAGTATCATATTATTTTCCATAATTGTTAATGTAATCTAACCATCAACTCTTGGAGCAGTCAGCTAGAGTAATAACTGAGTCTCTGGTGGCTCGTAGAACAGCTTGGACCTAATGTGAAGAGGGGATTTCCTCCTGGCTGCTAGAAGTGGCAGCATCACGGGTATGAACTGTGGCATTCTCCTGAAGTGTGCTATAGCTGCTCCGTGCTTTCCAGCCTTTTGGGTTTGGTGTGTGCAAAAAGCCTGAGCACAATCCATCAGGAAGCTCTGAAAGGGATCCCTGCTCCTTTTTTATTTGTGTGCTAATTTCATTTTATCCCAAATTAAATTTAATTAGACATTGAGCACCTGCTGTATGCAGGAAACTGTGCTGAGTGCTTTAGGTGATATTGAGAAGTGAAAGGAAGTTTGCAAGCCAGTAATTCTTATTTCAGCCCTGTGATTCTGTCATTCACATTAAGGTTCTATTTTGGACAAGAGAGTCTTCAGGAGAGCCTAATAGGATCGTGTGTTAGGTGGCAGGTGGGAGCAGGGGTAAGTTGTGAAGTCACTGCAAAGAATATATTCAGTATGTCCTTATTGATTTTATCATTCTAACTACAGAAAGTAAAGCTCAATGAAACTATCCTTCAGAGGTGATAAGCACTAGATTAAAGGATTAGTAAATATTGATTACATTAATTTAAAATTAGTGAGGAGCCAGGCACAGTGGCTCACGCCTGTAATCCCAGCACTTTGGGAGGCTGAGGTGGGCAAATCACTTTAGGTCAGGAGTTAGAGAACAGCCTGTCCAACATGGTGAAACCCCTTCTCTACCAAAAATACAAAATTAGCTGGGTGTGGTGGCAGGCACCTGTAATCCCAGCTACTTGGTAGGCTTAGGCAGGAGAATTGCTTGAATCAGGAGGTAGAGGTTACAGTGAATGAGATGGTGCCACTGCACTCCAGCCTGGGTGACAGGGTGAGACTCAGTCTCAAAAAAATAAATACATATATACATGAAGTAAAATAAAATAAAATTAGCGAAGTTCAACTGATGTTCAACATTTTCAGCATAAAGGTATCCTATTTACAAAATCCTGTCTCCAGCTTCACCACTCCAAATACTCCAGCAATAATCTATTTTCTAACCATTCCCATTTACTGAATACCTGCCCTAAGCTTAAGATCAGCAGGTATCACCTGCACTGCCCGTCTCACTCACGTCCCATGCCTTCCCTTATGCTGCTACCTCTATTTGGACTGCTCCAGCACCAACAGCCTGGTAAACCACATAGCTTTAAAATCCAGCCCAAGCTTTACATCCTCCAACTAAGATTCCCTCCCTCCTCTGGGACTTCACTTTGTAGTCACTGCTTATTCATATGGACACCAACGCTCGCCCCCACTACCCAGAGTGTGAGGGCAGGAACCTCGCCTTATTCCTGTGGTACTTCCGAGCTCTAACACAGGGCTCAGGATGCTGAAGAACCTCATTCCCTCATGTGCTCCCTAAGTTTTCCATAGATGAGCTGATGGCCTTTGAATCAGGAGTCACAAACTCTATCTTCCCAACATATCCATAGCCACAGCCCTAAAATACAAATTACTTTTCATGAGAAACTGTTTTAAGAATCTTAGAGTCATCTGAGCTGGAAAGAACCTTAAAGATCACATCTGATCCTCTTTCAAGTTAAAATTAAGACCAGAAAAGTTCAAAGATTTGTCTCAAGTCCCAAGATCTTGCAAGAAAAGCAAGGTGTGTGTTAGTTTTCTATTGCTGTGTAACACGTCACCACAAACTTAAAGGCATACAACTACATTCATTCATTAGCTCATAGTTCTGTAGCTTCCGAGTCCAGCATGGTCTGGCTGGGTTCTCTGTTCAGGCTCTCACAAAGCTGAAGCAAGATGTCAGCCAGGCTAAGTTCTGGTCTGGAGGCTCTGGGAAAGACTGCCTAAGCCCATTCTTGTGGGCAGGTTCAGTTCCTTTCAATTGAAGAACAAAGGTCCCGTTTCCTTGCTGGCCATTGGCTGCGAATTGCTCTCAGCTCCTCATGGTCTCCTCCATCAAAGTAAAAACATTGCAGCAAGCCATTCCCATTCTTTGAATCTCTCTGACTTCTGCTACTGCTGCTGGCCAGAATGAAGTCTCTGCTTTTAAAGGTCTCGCCTGCTTGACCAGGCCCACCTGTGTACTCTTTTAACATCAGCTGTGCCTATAATATTTACTGCCCTATAATCATGGCAGTAAAAGCAATCAAATTCACAGTCCTAACGTTTATATAGAATGTGTACGTGGGATAGCAAAGAGGGAAATCTTAGAAGACATAGAATCCTGCCTAGCATGCAAGGATTTGGGAATCATTCAGACATAGATTTGATAGCAACATTACCACTTAACATCTCCAACTGGACAAATCATTAAATTTCACTGAGCCTATGTTTCTTCCTCTGCAGTAAGAGAATAATAAATATCCCACATGCCTATACATGCCTTTTGTAAGGGTTACAGAGAAGATGGATATGGAAGTGCCTTTTAGTTTTTTGAGATGCAGTCTTGCTGTCACTCAAGCTGGAGTGCAGTGGCCACGATCTTTGTTCACTGCAACCTCTGCCTCCTGGGTTCGAGCAATTCTCCTGCCTCAGCCTCCCGAGTAGCTAGGATTACAGATGCATGCCACCGCACCCAGCTAATTTATTGTATTTTCAGTAGAGACAGGGTTTTACCATGTTGGACTGGCTAGTCTGGAACTCTTGACCTCAGATAATACACCTGCCTTAGCCTCCCAAAGTGCTGGGATTACAGGCATGACTCAACACGCCATCCGAAAGTGCTTTTAAGGTATAAGGTGCTACCTGGCAGGGTCTAAAGTATTGTGTGCAGGTATATGGCACCCCTTAGAAAAATCTTTAAGGTTAGAGGCTTAAGGATGTGACAGAACCAGGGACTGCCTCCTCTGCATGAACCTTACTGTCTTTTATTGACAATAAGATGGAAGTTTAGGGTACCAAGAAACAAGACGGTAGATAAGAGTTTCAAATGGCCATTTATTTCCTATCTAAGGCAATGCCAAGCCACATTCAGATATATCTAGACTGCTCTGGCCCTCAGCTGAAGGTGGGATTTCTTCAAGTGGCTGGACAGTCCTGGACCTCCATGCTGGTATGGTTCATCTAGTACAGTTGGGACCTAACTCAGATGATTGTCCTACTAGAGCAAGGCACTGCAGAGGTGACCAGGCAAGTGTTTCAGCAAGGAACACAGCCTGTCTACCCCTCCCTGCTTCTGAACATTCCTTAGGGCAGAAATTGTGAGTTTTGATAACAACTCTAAATTTGGAACCCTGAGGGGCAAGATTCTCTGTTGTCTGAAAGAAACACTGAAAGCAAGCCAACATAAGCATCTGCAGGAGCTCCATTTTTCTCTTCCTTCAGGGTGGCTTAGTTTCTGAGAAAGGAGCACACAGACTTTAGTGCAATCTGCTTAAGAATGATTATAGTACATGAACTGTTTCCTCCTTAAGCAGAAGAAATCATTATGTGATGGTCTCCTTCAACTCTTCCTTGCTAAATACACAGGGCCTGGCACATAACAATGATTTCAAAAAGCATCTACAGAATGAATAAATGAAACCAACCAGTCAGTGAGCTGGAACCCAGTTCTTTCCCCTTCCCATCCAACACTTTTTCTAGCATACAATTCTGTTTCCCACTATACTGGCCTCATGGCTGCCTTCTGAACAGAATTAATAAGTAAGTATTGAGGCTCTAGCTAAACTTAAATGTGCTAGCTCCAAGAGTCCCTAGAAATTCTAAGCCAGGCTGTCAAGTTGAAACTATACTGGACAATAGCCGTGCAGCTGAGGAAGTGAGCAGCACGCTGACCATCTGCTCCCTTTCTTCTCTTGGGAGCTGAGCTGATGGCATTCACGGAGGTTAATGAGCCCTCTCTGGCTCATGTAGTCTTGCACAGTCTGTGGGTCTGGGTCTCATCCATTTTAGAAGATGAACACACACATGAAATGCCTCTGGTGTGCACATGCCTATGCAATGATTAGAGCTCTCTTGCCAAAGTGATATGTGAACTTTTTAGAGGTTCTAAAGGAATACTAGAAAACTACTCAGCCTTTGTAGTCAGACAGGCCTTTGTAGTTCAGGGTTATGACCCTTGATTTCTTCACTTATTAACTGGGTAAACTTTGGTTTCTTTTACCTCTCTGAGCCTCTGTTTCTTCATATATAAAACGAGAATAATACAAAGAGTTATGCTTTGCAGGGCTATCCTGAAAATTAACTGAATTAAGTGTGCAAAGTGCTCAGTACAGAATAGGCATTCAACACACGGGCTACTGTGGTTATTGGTATGTAACTAAACTCCCTCTGGAATATATTTCTATACATTTACTTCTTCAAACCATCCATGGTATTGACACCAAAGGTTTGAAACTATCCCATCAAGATTCACTAAGTGACTAATACACGCAAGTACCTGCACTGGGTGATGAAAGCATACATTACTGGACATCAATCTATTTTCAGTAGACATCGACCTATTTTGAGACAAATAAGAGAATGGCATAGGAGAAAGGGGAGGAAAATAACATTTATTGAGAACCCATATTGAACTAGGCACTGTGCTATGTGCTGGGAATCCCAGGCAAATAAGTCACAGCATTGGAATTTAATGCTTATTTTTTCATTTCACACATGCATTCCTTAATAGAAATCAAGTTCATGAAAGTTCCTATGGCTTTCTGGTTACCAGAATCTCTTCTCTGAACGTCACTAGAGCAGAAGAATGTACCTCAGAGACTTGCTTCACATTCCAGCCGGGCCTCTCCTGAAGTCTCAGCTTGCCACTCCTCTCTATCCTCAGTTGCCCATTTGCAGTGATGAATGACTCCAGTGTCTGAGGCCCGGGTGCCCTTGGCCTCAAAATTACTGTTTTTGACAGTAACTGTGTTGCAGCGGTATCATCCTGTCCTCTTAATTAAGGGCATTTGTGCTTTGGTCCTTGTCCCATGTCCTCCTGGTCAATTAGACTTATTTATTCCCTGTTGTCAATTTGTCACTAGTAAGTCCTCTCATATAATGTTATTATAACAGAAGTGAAAAGTGTGTGCCTCATTGAGTTTAAATTTGTGAAAAAATATTAAGAAATTGTCTTAAATTCTTAAATCTCAGTTAAGATTTTGAAATTAGATTATGTGTCAGAAAATGGGAGATTTGTGGCCAGGCATAGTGGCTCATGCCTGTAATCCCAGCACTTTGGGAGACTGAGGTGGGCGAGTCACCTGAGGTCAGGAGTTGGAGATGAGCCTGCCCAACATGATGAAACCCCGTCTTTACTAAGAATATAAGAATTAGTGGGGTGTGGTGGCATATACTTGTAATCCCAGCTACTCAGGAGACTAAGGCTGGAGAATCACTTAAACCTGGGAGACGGAGGTTGAAGTGAGCCGAGATTACACCACTGCACTCCAGCTGGGTGATAGAGTGAGACTCACTCTGTCTCAAAATAAATAAATAAATAAATAAATAAATAAATAAATAAATACAAAAGAGAAAATGGGAGATTTAAGGAAAATGAATGAGAACACAGTTGAAGATTTCCTAGTTCTGAAATGTTTTACAGTTGATCCAAGGGATGTAATTTACATTTTTTTCCATTAATATGTCAATGTTTTGATAATTTTTCTGCTTCTAAGAAGTTATATTATTTTTCTTAGAAATCATTCTTTTTAGTAACAATATGGACACTTAATTGTGCCACCAATAGTCTTTCTCAGTGGTTTCTCTGAAATTTTTAAATTTTATTTTAAATTTATAATTTATAATTTTATATATTTATGAAGTACAAAATGATGCTATGATTTATTAATTCATTGTGGAATAACTAAGTCAAGCTAATTAACATATTCATCACCTCACATACTTATTTTTTGTGATGAGAGCATTTGAAATTTACTGTTATCAATTTTGAAATGTATGTGATTCATTTAGAATCATCTTCTGCAGTTAATCGTAATGTGTTTCTTTTATACCTTATAATGACTAATTCACCTCTAAGGTAGAAAAGATTCTAGGAATTTACATTTTCTCTACTTCTTTGAGTCTTCTGTTTTAGGAATTAAATTGCCTGTTTAATTGATGTTGGGACTGTGTTTTTATTTTATTCTGTTCCCAGTACTCTTTCCCAAGAAGTTTTCAATATAGTGTAATATACTGTTACTAACTATATTCACCACACTGTGCAATAGATCTCAGTTTTTAAAAACCCAATCCTCCTTGTCTAACTGATGCTTTGTACCCTTTTGCCTTCATCTTCCTATTCCTCCGAAGTGCCAGTTTCTGGTAACCACCATTCTATTCTCTGCTTCTATGAATTCAAGTGTTTTAGATTCCTAAAATAAGTGGAACATGTGGTATTTGTACTTCTGTGCCTGGCTTATTTCACTTTGCGTAATGTTCTCTTAGTTCTCTTACTCCATCCATGTTGTGGCAAATGTCAGAATTTATTTCTTTTTTAAGGCTGAATAGTAGTTCATTGTGTATATATATATATATATATATATATATATATATATATATATATATCACGTTTTCTTTATCCATTCATCTGTTGATAGACCCTTAGTTTGAGTCCATAATTTGGCCATTGTAAATACTTCTGCACTAAACATGGGCATACGGACGTCTCTTCAACTCATTTCAAATATTTTGGCTAAACACCCAGAAAAGGGAATGCTGAATAGAGTGGTAGTTCTATTTTTAATTTTTTGCAGAACCTTCATACTGTTTTCCATAGTGGCTATACCAATTTACATACCCACCAACAGGACACAAGGGTTCCCTTTTTTCCACATCCTTGCCAACACTTATCTTTTGACTTATTCTTAATGCTATTCTAGCAGGCATGAGCTGATATCTCCTCATGGTTTTGATTTGCACTCCCTCACGATTAGAGATGTTAAGCAGCTTTTCATGTACCTATTGGCCATTTGTATATCTTATTTGGAAAAACGTCTGTTAAGGTCCTTTGCCCATTTTTAATTGGATTATTTGCTTTATTGCTATTGAATTGTGTGAGTTCCTGGTGTATTTTGGATAGTAATCCCTTATTAGATATATGGTTTGCAAACATTTTCTCCCCTTCTGTAGGTTGTCTTCTCATTTTGATTGCTCCCTTTGCTGTGCAGAAGGTTTTTGGTTTGTTGTAGATCTGCTTTTTTGTTTTTGCTTTTGTTGTCTGTGCTATTGGTGTCACATCCAACAAATTATTGCCAAGATTAATGCCAAAGAACTTTACCCTGCCCTTTTCTTCTAGGAGTTAGTTTTAGGTGTTAGATTTAAGTCTTTAATCCATTTTTAGTTACCTAATTCATGTAAGTGGTGTAAGATAGGGATTCAGTTTCTTTCTCTCTCTTTTTTTTTTTTTGGCATGTAAACTTCTAGTTTTCCCAACGCTATTTATTTAAAAGATTATCCTTTCCCCATTATGTACTCTTGGCACCTTTGTCAAATATTGACCATATATGCATTGGTTTATTTAGATTAATTTTTTGTCATGGTTTAAAACCTAACCATTGTGTTCTTGGATGATAAACCTTGTGATATTAACCTGCAACTTTTTGAGTGATAAGTTCTACCACAAGCCATCACCTGCTCTGATTCTGGTGGCTACAAAAGAATACTTCCTCTCTGTTCTTTCTGCGTGGAATGAGTAACTATCAATCTCTAGATTAGACTTCCCTGGTTGGATGCTGCAGTGCACAGCACAGGGAGATGGCCACTATAGGTGGAGAATGATTAGAAGACTCACGAATAATTAATCAAGGGAAACAGAATTGCATTTTTTCATCTGTAAGAGTCATTTCCATACATTACAATTCAAGCAGCACCATTTGCTCTCTTGACAACCGTTTTATCCAGTAATTTGTGTCAATCTTCCCTTCAAAAGGAAAGTTGCCTTGTCCTATATGTTATGAACTCAGAACATTGTTTTATCAAATTTTGTGCCAGGCATTGTAAGGGTTTAAATGGATCTACTACAAGATTACATGGCCAAATGCTGTATGCTTAAGAAGGTCCAGGTAATGTTAGCTTTCATGGAAACATTTTCTCATTTAGAATCATGCCTTTGCAGTCAATCTTAATGTATTTTATACCTTATAAAGACCAATTCAACTCTTAGGTGGAAAAGAGTCTAGGAATTTACATTTTCTCCATTTCCTTGAGTCTTCTGTTTTAGGAATTAAATTGCCTAATTAGTGCTTTGACTGTTTTTACTTTATTCTGTTCCCCAAGAACTTTGCAGTATGTGTTTTAAAAATAACATTGTTTTCTTCTCAAAGTAATATGTATTGCCAAATTTAGAAAATACCAGAAATCAGTAAATAAAAACCACCCATAATCCTCTCTGTTAATATTTTGCTTTATATTTTTTCCAGTCTTTTATATATGCGTATGTGTGTGATTCTTTTATAAAAATGAGATCATACTCTGTTCTCTTTTGTAGCTTATATTTTTTTAAATCTAATATGTGGTAAATAAGTAGGCTTTTTACTCACATGATTCTTTTTAAACAATTTTTTTTCTAGAACAGGAACCAGAAGATTACTGTTAATAAATTACTGTACAGCATAAATTCATAAACCCAAATTGTGACCCAAGAACAAAATCCACTTCTCTGCTCCTTTCCGTCCTTACTTTTTCCTGCCCCATTCCCACCCTGTAAGCCCAGCGTAGGAGGGTTCTGTTGGAGGAGTCACTGAAGGAAGGTCACCCAGTCAGAAAAAGAGCGCTTGAAGTTCTGTTCTTTGCAGAGCTTTTCAACTGACTCTTGAGGATGTTCTGCTGTTAATGTACAAATATATTTGATTATTAAATTATCTCTGTTTTGGAATACTCAGTGTTTTTTACTTCATTCTAAATGTCTTCATAAGAAATTATATACAAATAACCCAGGCCACAGATTAAATAAATTTATACTAGCTATTAAAAACAATGCTATAAATGTATTTTAAAATGTAGCATGAAAGTATATTCCTAAAAATGTACGTAATAGTAGCCAGTGCAGCCATAGTCATTTGAAAATTGCATTTTTATTCCCATAAAAGTAAAACATTGACTATGAAAATGTAGAAAATACCGATAAGGGTCAGGTGTTGTGGCTCACACCTGTAATCCCAGTACTTTATGAGGCCAAGGCAGGAGGATTGCTGAGCTCAGGAATTCAAGACCAACCTGGGCAATATAGTGAGAGCTTGTCTCTGCATAAAAGAAGAAATATGTCCACAGATGTAATCATGGTGCCATTATTCCTTATCTGGGAGTCCTTACAGACACCCAGAGCCCAGTCCCAAGAGTCGTCCACATCCAGCTCCCAATAGTGTTTCCCAGAGGAGAAGCCCTGGGCTCCCCATGCAGCAAAATAGTCAGGTCTGTCAGAATTCACAGATCCACCTTCCCGTTCAGGTCTAAACATCCAACTTCTCACATCCTCAAACAGGCTGATATTGTGATTGCTTACTTCATAATTGAAGGAAATTTCCACTCGGAAGCGGTTGAGCCTGTGCACCAGTCCAGTGATGGGCCCTGCAGTTAACTCTGGATTCACAGGCTGGGGCATGTGCAGCAGCACGGACTCGCTCCTTGCCATGATGTCTCCCAAATCCTGGAGCAGCTCCACATCTGGTTTATGACACATTTCCATTAGTTCCCGATACATTTCTTTCAAGTGCTTCTTCTTTTGATGCATGTTGATGCAACTTCTCTGGAGTTGTGGAAATATCTCTTCGTGTTCCTTGCCCAGTCTCTCTAAATGTTGTTTTTCTTCCTTATGGAGAACTGGATGCACCTTCATATACTCAACCCTGATCATCTGTGCACGAAGAAGGGCATAGGCACTCCAGAGCATGCTTGTTTTTTCCTCCTCACTTAGATTTCTCTGATTTTCTTGAATTTTTTCCCATAAAATCCTCATTTGCTTTAAGAGCTTCTCCCGGTGGCGTTACCCGGATGGCTCCTTAAATTTCCCTGTCAGGCCTGTCTTTTACACTGGCCACAGATGATTAAGATAAAGAAAGCTGACGGTTTGGGAACTGCATGTACAAGGGAGTCCTTCACTGTTCAAGCAAAGGAATCATACTGTTCGGGCTTTTTTTCTGTTTTAGTGTCACTTTATTACAGTTAAATAAAAAATATGTAAAATGCAAAAAAAAAAAAAAAAAAAAATTTTAAATGAGGCAGGAGGATTGCTTGAGCCCAGGAGGTTGAGGTTACAGTGAGCCATGATCATGCCACTGTACTCTTGCGTGTATTACAGAGCAAGACCTTGCCAAAAAAAAAAAAAAAAAAAAAAAAAAAAAAAAAAAAGTAAAAGAAAATACCAATAAGCAGAAAAGAAAAGAAATCATTTACAATTCTACCATTGTGAATATTCCATTAGTTTACCAATCTGTCTCTTACTTAATCTATAGTAGATTCTATTAAAAATGGTTATATCAAAGGATAGCTTCTTTGACTGTTTTTTGACCCTTGTTAAAAATCAAATTTCAACAAATTTAACTTAAACATCTTTTATTAGGGATTTATGAATTGGGCAGCATCCCATCTAAATACTTCAAAAGCCACTCCAGTGAGCTGAGCAAAGGAGATGTAATTTATAAGTAGAAAAAGGCTAAAGAAAGCAGAAAGAAGGAGCAAAAAACAGATTGGTAGTTACAAAGTTACTTTCTTTACAGCATTCAAACAGAGGAGACTTCTTTACCATGCCAGCTCAGGTAAACTGGGCCTCTACTGATTGCTGTGAATCTCTACTTTTTTGGAAAATTGGCTCATTTCAGAGTTCAGGTTAATTACATTCATGAGTGACTCCATTCTGGTTTGGTCTGGCCAGTTGAGCCTAGTCCAGGATCTCAGTCCAAAACAACGGCCTCCTGTAATTTTTATTTGACATCCTCTTTATTTAAATTGAACATGTATACATTAAGTATCTGTTTTTAACCTAGTCCATGAACAAATGGTGTTATTTCTGTTCTAAGATCAGAATCTTTTATCCACTCTGTGAATAAACCACAGCAGGTTTAATTTAATTCCTTGATTTCCCATGGATACCTGTAGATATGTGGGCCATCATGTGTCTTTAGTGAAAGGTGTTAATAAAAACTAATTTTTAAAGTTTGTTATAGTCATTTGAGGAATAATATAATAACAGACTATATAGAAACATACAAAGGAAAAAAGTCAGCTATACTCCCATCATTAGCATTTTGGTCAATGTGTTTTGGTTTGTGTATATTTATTTTTACATACTTGTACACAGTTTTGTATTTGGCTTCTTTTAAGTTATAGAAATTTTTGCCATTAAAACATTGATTTTTAATATATTGCCATGATAATGTTCTGCAGCTAATGCCAAAACATATCTTTTCCAACTATTCATACCTGAAGACTCCTAGGTACTGACCATCCTGACTTGGATGATTTGTAATATTCACCATCATCATTGCTGTTACTTCTTGAACAATTCTTATGCTTCTGATACTTTGTATCAGTGGCCTACCTGAACAAGATCTCCTTCACCATGTTCATTGAACATTATTATTGGACAGCTATCTTTTTTTTTCTACCTCATAATTGAGTTGGTATTTTCAGCCCCTATGCTGACTGATCTTTATATCTTCCTTCATCCTATATGCCTATTTTGCAAAAGTTCTGTCATGCCTCCCATGTAATCAGCTTTAGTATGCCAGGATGTACAAATCAACTGACTCTAGTTCAGTGTTTTCTTTCCTTTGAGCAAAGGCTCTTTGAAAACAGAGATAATAAGCAAGGACCACAGGGGAGGTTTTCCTCTCTCTGTGATTAATTGCATTTGTTGCCTGATACACATGGGGAAAGGATTGCCATTTAGATAATTTTCTTCTGTCCCATCTGATGCCACTGTTTAGATAGTTCAAAACAGGGAAAACCGAGTCCTGCTAATTACTTGTGTATTTTTAAAGTGTGAATGCCCTTGCTTAAGAGATTGTGGAATAATTACCCTTTTAGCCTATACCTTCTAAATTCTGTTTTCTAAGTGATTAGTACTTAGATCCATGGTAGACCTCCTTAGTAGACAAATCAACTTAAAAATCCCTCAAATTTGTAAAGCTGTAGATAAAATTGAACTGTTTTTATTAACTTTTAGGTTTTCTGTTGCTGGCCAGTTTTACTTGAATACTGCATTGTTTATTTTGTATTTCTACTTTTGCTGTTGGGAGCTCTTTCAGTTGCTTCTGAATCTTTTTGACATTCTCACAGTCTCTGTGTTTTGAGCACTTTCCCACTTTCTGGCACTACATGATGCTCCAGGCTAATCTTATATATTCTCTGCTCTAGCCCTAAAATTAATCACTTCAAGGACCCCTGGTTTCTTTTATTGGAAAATAGTATTAGAAACCAGATTTGCTCTGATATGCTCATCACTCTTGGAGTGTCATTGCTTTTAGGCCATGCCAGTGACCACAAGTAGGAACTGTATGTATGTATATTAACCTGTGTATGCATACATATTTTAATTTCTATTTTTACTCATCAATGTCTGTTTTAAGCTAAAGAAGATTTCATCCTGATGTCTTAGAATTTAACTGAGAACTACACAGTTTATTCTTACCTTTCCTCCTTACTCATCTGTAACTACCCAGCCCATAGTGAGAAACCTGGCTCCTACCATTCACCATCCTTTTACTTAGTTTTTCAATTCCAATGTACATGTACAGCAGTATCAGAACTATTACCCCATATTTCCATAAAAACCATTACCTACTGCAGAACAGTGCTTATATACAGGGTTTTGTTGTTGTTGTTGTTTTCTTTTACAGTTTCCATTCATTTCTAAATTTTCTTACACTCCATTCTCCCCTTCCTCTTCAGTGAGAGTATGTCATGTCATGCGTTTTTTATACAGCATACCTCAGAGATATTGCAGGTTGTTTCCAGACCACCGCAGTAAAGTTAATATCACAGTGAAGCAAGTCACACAAATTTTCTGGTTTCCCAGTGCCTATAATAGTTATGTTTTCACTATATTGCAGTTTATTAAGTGTGCAGTAGCATTAGGTCTAAAAAGATAATGTATGTATGTTAATCTTTAAATATTGCTAAAAAATACTAAGGATCAACTGAGCCTCCAGTGAGTCATAGTCTTTTTTTTGGTTTAAGGTCTTACCTCAGTGATAATGGCTGCTGACTGATCAGGATAGACTTCTGCTGAAAGCTGTGGTGGCTGTGGCTGTTTCTTAAAATAACAGTGAAGTTTGCTGCATCAGTTGACTCTTCTATCATGAAAGATTTTTCTATAGCGTGTGATGCTGTTTGATAGCACTTTGCCCACAGTGGAACTTCTTTCAAAACTGAAGTCAGTCCTCTTAAACCCTGCCACTGCTTTATCAACCAAGTTTAAGGAATATTCTAAATCCTTTGTTGTCAGTTCAGCAGAGTTTGCAGCATCTTCACTAGATTAGATTCCCTATCAAGAAACCACTTCCTTTGTTCATCCATAAGAAGCAGTTCCTCATTCATTCAAGTTTTATCATAAATTGGCAGCAATTTAGTCACATTTTCAGCTCTACTTCTAATTCTACTTCTCTTGTTTCCACTACGTCTACAGATACCACTGAAGTCTTGAACCTCTCCAAATCATCCATGAGGGCTGTAATCAAGCTTCTTCCTAACTCTTGTTAATGTTGATATTTTGACCCGCTCCCATGAATCACAAATATTCTTCATTGTGATTCATAAATGAGAGTTCCTGTTATTCTCCATTCTTGTCAGTACTGATATTACTAGTTTTTACAAAAAAATCCATTCTAGGCCGGGCATGGTGGCTCACACCTGTAATCCTAGTGCTTTGGGAGGCCAAGATGGTGGATCGCAAGGTCAGGAGTTCGAGACCAGCTTGCCAGTATGGTGGAACCCCGTCTCTACTAAAATACAAAAATTAGCCGGGTGTGGTTGTGGGCACCTATAATCCCAGCTACTCGGGAGGATGAGGCAGGAGATTTGCTTGAACCCAGGAGACGGAGATTACAGTGAGCCAAGATGGCACCACTGCACTCTAGCCTAGGTGATAGAGTGAGACTGTGTCTCAAAAAAAAAAACATCCATTCTAATAGATGTGTAATGGTATGCATTAGGGTTTTAGTTTGCACATCCCCTATACTGAGCATCTTTTCATATACTTATTTTCTGTCTATATGTTTTCTTCAGCAATGTGTGTGTTCAAATCTTGTGCCCATGTTTTTCAGTAATTTAAAAATATAGCAAGGTTTTATTTATAACTGAAAATAATTATAAAGTTCAAATAATACAGAAACGTATAAAGGGAATAAAATAGCATATACTCCCCATCTTCTCCACACCTGAATCTCTGAAAATGACTTCCCTGTCTCTACAAAAAATATAATAAATTAGCGGGACATGGTGGCTTACGCCTGTAGTCCCAGCTACTCCGGAGGCTGAGGTGGGAAAAACACCTGAGCCCAGGAGATCAGGGCTGCAGTGACCCGTGATAGCACCACTGCACACCAGCCTGGGTGACAGAGTGAGATCCTGTCTCAAAAAAATTAAAACTCCAGGAAACCAAAGATCATGTAGCTTTTCTCCAATATTTTCCTCTAGAAGTTTGATAGTTTCTGCATTTACATTTAGTTCTGAGATACATTGAGTCAATTTTTGTGTAAGGTGTGATGAGGTTGAATTCACTGCATATAAACATCCAGATGTCTTGCATCATTTGTTGAAAAAACTTTTCTCCATTGAATTGTCTTTGCACCTTTTTCAAAAATTAGTTGACTATATTTTTCTGGGTCAATTTCCAGTCTCTCTTCTATTCCATTAATTGATGTGCCTAATGTTTTGTCTCTCTATATTTATTGTTGTAGCTTTACAGTAAGTCTTGATATCAGGTACTGTAAATCCTGCAACTTTGTTCTTCTTTTCCAGGATTGAATGGGCTATTCTAGT